TCTGAACCCTGAACTTCACGCCGACGCACCAAAACCGCCCTTCGATTACCATTGATGTTTTAGGTTGGGTGCATGTACCATAACCGTTTAATAGCAGTCCGTTATCATGCCAGTGTTTTATTGCTCATTGTGATATGAAGCTATTCAGCCACCCGACTTGCTTTTATTACAAAGGGTAACTTACTCTTAAAGCCAATTCGCGTAATGTATGCAAATGCTCACAAGAAGTTTTACGTGCCAGAATGTTGTTCGCTGCGTGTTGCCACCGGATGATTAGTCCAACAAAATAAAGCACAATAATGGCAAAAATCCTTGTTAGCTACACTTTGTGAAATTAAGGTGTTTATAACAAGTTTTGATTGCTCAAAGAAGTGCTGACTACCTGTATCTAGTCGGTTTCCCAGGCTACTCATAACCTCCCTCTTGGTTTCAAACCTGAATTCATGACCATTGTCCTTTTTAACCTCTGCCTGTTTGTTGCGAGGAAAGTTTTTCGATCAAATGGTGTTTTTCATGGGTAAGAACAATAAACCGTCTGACGCCTATTATAGCTGTATGTTAATGTGTTCCCCTCATGAAAATATATATATTGAAGTTTTCGGTTATACTGGCTGATTTTAACCAATTATTGGATATCTATCTTTCCAGTATTTTGCTTAAGATAATTGAATCACTTTCCAAACAAGCGAGGTCAAGTCACTAATATTTACTGCTACTTCCCCATTAATGATCATATCTGACCGAGCCGCTCTGGATGGTACTGCGGAGTGTACCTCCATCCATACAATTGTGAGTCGAGAGATCTGGAGGCCTCCAGCGACGCAAGCCAAATGTCGAAGGCCCACCAACTGTCTCCGTGTCTTGACGACTTGTTTTGATCCAAGTGGCGAGTTTGCCACTTGGACGCCCCCAGATGAGTACCGGCGTCGAATGAAGAGCAGTATCACTGAACTCACGAGGCGGACAATGGGCGTGTACCCAAACCACCAGGATAACCAGAGGTACCTTGGCGTTTTCTAACAACTAATGCAGACTGGAAATTAAAGCTTGAAGCAGGCAGGGCGGTATCGACTGCGTACTCCAAATCAGTCAGCCGCCACTCAGATACAAATTCGAAACCGTCAATACTATTTAAGATTCAGAAAATACCTCAAAGGTCTAGTTGAGCAAAATAAACCACAGAACGCAGCCTTGTCGAAGACCCGTTCGAACATCCAACAGTTCGTATATAAAAAGACAGGCAGAAAAGGGGCGATATGAGTCCTTGATCACAGTGGAGATTTTTGTTCGCACACTGTCTGACCGGCATTCGTACAGGAACTAACGGTGCACCAAATCGAACGCTGTGACAACTTCAACAAAGCAGACTGCGGTCGGTTGCCAATTGCAATGACAGAGGTCTAGCAGACCCAGGAATGCAAATATCTGGTTAGTTCATCCACGTAAAACTCCGTACTGTAATTGGTTGGTTATCATCCTAAGGGCGCACATCGAATTTTTTTGAGAATTTTAATGACAAGGTCTTTCCAGCAACTCCGGTAAAGTTAACGTCGTGGTAGTTCTCGAACTGTCTTATTCTTTTTCTTGAAAACTCACACGGATGACCGAGCCTCAATTCCCAGCAATTATGTCATGTCCCCCATGCTTACCCAGCGCCTTATTGAGTCAGGAAATCAGTAGACTTCGGCAAAAATAGCGGCCTGTTTGGGCGCCTTGTTACACAAACGAAGTATTTCATCGAAGATTTCTTCCAGGAAGGAGGGTTCGCACGATAATTGTGGGTTGGAGAACCCTTCCCCCAGCTGTAGCCGAGGGAAGGAGTAATGGGCTAATCATGAAACTGGAAAAGTACTCTAACTGCTCAAGCAAGCGCTCGATCTTACCTGAGTTGTCAGCAATGAAGTCGTTAATAATTACGCTCACTTAGTGCAGAAGGCCAACCAATAAGTTGCTGAATAATTTTGCAATTTTCGAGTGCCACCGAGTCTTGGCAGGTATCTGCGGCGATACGGTCATGGCGGTGTCTCCCTATGGACCTAAGAGTTCTGTGGCTGATTGCTAGCGGTGCTGTCCCCCTTTCTGTGTTCAATGCCTGCTGTCTCAAACTTCTTGTGTCTCCGTAGGTGACTGTTTGCGACTCGGTGACCCGAAGACCCTCGACTGACTTCCACTTACACAGGCGC